TGTCAGGAAGGTGTGCATCATGGAATGCCGATTTAATAGAACAACATGGTCTTGAATTGAGTAAGTACTTGAGTGGAGGTCAAATATCCATCTGCTGCCTTAATACTAAACCCATAAATATATGCATGTAGATCTATTTCCCCACCACCCTATAAAAATATATTTACATATGCACATGCCTGTATTTAGAACTCTATAAATACCCTTTGTCTCCTAGTTCTTTCCTCTATTTCCTTTTACTTTCCTCTTGTCCCACTATCATTCTCAGCCTTCATTTGGGTTTCAGTAATTTCTCTAGATTACATTGCCCTTGCTGAATCCCTACCAGACCTCTCACACTCTCCTTGCCACTAATTTTGGATGACTTGTTGCTCCCGTCTCTGGGTTGGTCAAAACAACCTCCTTACCCCCGCCTCCCCCTCTCCCATGGCCTCTCCCCCCACCCTACCCCCAACCCCCTGAACCACTGGTCCCGTTGTTTTCTCCTGTTGACTGTTCGTCCAGCCTATCTTATCTAGATAGATCTGTAGAGATAATAATATGCACCAGAAAACAAGGCATAGCAAGACAGGCGACGAATGAGAACACAGTGACGACAACAAAAAAGAAAACCAATGACCCATAAAAGAATAAATTAATTAATAGAAAAAAAAGAAAAAGGAAAAAATTTTAAAAGAAAGAAAACCTGTAAAGAGATCAAGGTCTGCTATTTGGACTCTAGATGTGTCCTCCAGTCAAGTCCGATGGGGTGCCGCGCTCTGGCCCGAATCCATCCTTTGTACTCCCCATCTTATACTCTTAGGAGTAGTGCATGAAGGTTCCAGTTTCTTATAGGTTAGCCATTCTAGTGAATGTACTAACCACAAAGTCAGTGGCTTAAACCTACTAGATGATCCATCGAAGAAAAATGAGGCTTTCTACTTCTGTAAAGATTTGTGGCCTTGGAAATTCTAGGAAGTGATTCTGCTCTGTTCTATAGGGTCGATAGCCGTCGTAATCAACTTGGTGGCTGTAAGTCAGTCAGGCCTGTGCAGAAGTATTTTCCTGAGAGCAATATGCATTTTCCTGTAACTAATGATGTTGAGAAGCATTTGATGTACTTATCTGCCATTCATACAACTTCTCTGAAGTGTCTGTTTTTGCCATTCATTTTACATTATGAAAATGGGAGTAACTCTTGCATTTCCATTAATATTTAAGACCATCAATATAACACATCTGCAAGTTCAGGCTACAGCTGAAATAAGTTAAAGCAGGTCTACTACAAGCAAAACATCAACGTTAGTAGAGGCCACCAGAATTTAGAGACCATCTGAAAAAAAACTTGACACACAAATAATGACCAGAGAACACATAAGTTGTGGGGACATGATATGTGAAGAAAGCAAACAACATTAAAAGACAGGAAAGAGAGAAAAGACCATAGTGGATATTGAAAGGGACTATGAAACTTGCTCTTGAATACAGAGTAGCTAAAATAAATGAAAGAAATGATGACGTAAAAGAGCTAAACAAAAAATTTCAAGGGGCAGCCGTAAACGACAAAGTAAAATATATATAACAAAAGACACAAAACCCTGGAATTAGAGTGGGCAAATGGAAGTACACATTCAGCATGTCTCAATCTGACAAAAATGAACAAAATTCAAGGATTCTATGGACAAACTACTGAAGATTGAAGAAGCAAGAGGAAAGGAATACAGACTCACTGTGCCAAATAGTACGGCCTCAACCATTTCAAGAAATAGCATAGGATCAAGAACTGATGGTCTTGAAAGAAGGTAAACCTCTACAGAAGGACATGGTCAAAAAACAAGGCTTCAGGACTTATATGCCTGTGAAAACTGGACAATGAATAAGGAAGACAGCAGACAAATTAAGGTATTTGAATTACAGAGTTGGTGAAGAATAGTGAAAATACCATGGACTTCCAGAAGAACAAACAAATCTGTCTTGGCAGAAATACAGCCAGAATGTTTTTTCGAATTGAGGATGATAAAGCTTCATTTCAAGTACTTTGGACACATCGTCAGGAGAGATCAGACGCTGGCAAAGGACATCATGGTTGGTAAGTAGAATCCCCAAACCAATCTTACCACCATCAAGTTTATTCTAACTCATAGTAACCCTACAGGATAGAGCAGAACTGCTCCTGTGGGTTTCCAAAACTATAACTCTTTACAGGACTAGAAAGCCCCATCTTTCTTTCTCCCACAGAGCAGCTGGTGGTTTTGAACCACTGACCTTGTGATTAGTAGTCCAATACATACCCACCTCGCCATCAGGGCTCTGTGGTAAAGCTCAAGAAAATAACAATTGTTATTCTCAACAACATAACAATTGAGAGAGTGGTGCAGGACCAAGCAGTGTTTCATTCTGTTGTGCATAGGCTTGCTGTGAGTAGGAACTGACTTGACGGTACCAAACAGTAGCAACTGTGAATACCTGTACACAGACCAAGAGGCACAATACAATGGGGCCCTACATTGTTTACAATCAGGAAAAGGTACATCAGGGTGACAGCCATTCACCTTACGTATTCGATCTGTATGCTGGGCAAATAATCCAAGTAGCTGGGCTGTATGAAGAAGAAAGCAGCATCAGGACTGAAGAAAGACTCCTTAAGAACCTGCGATACGCAGATGACATAACCCTGCTCGCGGAAAGTGGAGAAGGCCTAAGCACTTACTGATGAAGATAAAAGACTATAGCCTTCAGTACAGTTTGCAAGTCAATGGAAAAAAACATCAATCCTCATAACTGGGTCAATCAACAACATCATGATAAACAGAAAAGAAAGAAGTTGTCAGGGACTTCATTTTGCTTCAATCCACAATCAACACTCAGGGGAAGAGAAGCCAAGAAATCACTACATCGAGACCTCTTCAAAGTCTTTAAAGAGCACAAATGTCACTTGAAGGACTAAGATGAACCTGCCCCAAATCATAGACCACATTTTCCCAATGCAGGCTCTTTGTATTACTATATACAGTTTAGAATATGCTCGCCAGTTTCAACAAATATATGCATATAGGCACACAAAACCTACTTATTTGGGTTTAATTTGAACTATAAATAAAATCATAATATAAATTACAAACTATAAGTTAAACTCTATTTTACCAATCATGATGTCCTTTTCTAGCAATTGATCTCTGCTGATGATATGTCCAAGAGCCCTGGTAGCATACACGTTACACGTTGGGCCGCTAGCCACAAGGTCATCGGTTTGAAACCACCAACTTCTCTGAGGGAGAAAGACAAGGCTTTCTATTCCC